ATTTATATACTTTTCAACGCCATTGAAACAAATTTACAATGGACAAAGTGTGACATTTAGGGCTTAGAAGTGCTTTGCCTTCTTTTCGTGTAGTTATCCATGGTTTTTAATGGGAGTAAACGATAAAATAAATGTGCAATTATTTGTATTACTAGCTTTTACCCGCGGCTTCGCTCGTGTCACAAAAGGATAAAAAGTAGCTTATATGACATATACCAATACACACAGCGCCACCTATACAAATAATTTCGTTTTCCCTCGAGAATACCTATCACATTTTTTCGGGATAAAAAGTACCTATTATTTAATCCAGACTTCTAACTGAACATTTGCAAAATTTCAAAGCAATCGGTTTGGTAGTTACGGCGTGAAAGCGGAACAAACAAACAAACAAACAAACTCACTTTCCGATTTATAATATTATATACTAGCGACCCGCCCCGGCTTCGCACGGGTGCAATATGTATATACATACAAACCTTCCTTAAGAATCACTCTATCTATTAAAAAAAACCGCATCAAAATCCGTTGCGTAGTTTTAAAGATCTAAGCATACATACGGACATACAGCGAAAGCGACTTTGTTTTATACTATGTATTGATAAGTAAGGATATATATATATATACTAAGAATGATGACTATGCATATGGGGCGATTTTCCGTCGCGGCATTCAATTGTAGACCAGTGTGCACTTCAACTCGCTACCGAACATACCACTGTGAGTATAACCGAATAATCTTTCTTGTAACTTTTAAAAATAAACTTTTCGGGACTTCTAGAAGTGTTTACACTCACAACTCCAAACTCAACCAACTACGAGTACTTCACTCCATATCAATTAACTATAAAAAGTAGGTAGTGTAAAGTTCACTACACTGTACAAAATGTAAGTCATTTTACAAATCCTGCTCAGTATTGAGTGTAAACCTCTACTTTTTGGTAAAAATGTATTTTTTCACTTTAAATAAATAAATAATGTAAAATAATATTCTTAGGTATTCAGTCCTCAGGTTAATATAACATCTCTCCAACAGAACATTCATAATAATTGTATAATATTTTTACACGAAATATTATTTCCTTTTAACCACAACCAACGAAGCTGCCGCGACATCGTCACGGGCAATTTTCACAAATATTAACTCCACAAAATATGGCTAAAAGGAAAAATATCGTTATAATATGTGTACCATAAGATTAGGGAACATTTTTCACAACAACACTTTCAAACTGAAAGAAGTATCTTTGAAATGGGGACGATTTATAAGCTTTAGGAAATTGAGACATAAATCCGGTGGCTTGGCAAGCGTGTGATAAAAAGTGGACGCTGTGTCAAAGCCATGTCGTGCTGCGTTTTCTTTTTTTAAATTGCCGAATGAAAATCGTTTCGGTATTTTGTTATGATTTTTATGTGGTAATAATATTCACAGTGATGTAGTATAAATTCAGTATTGTACATACTTTGTGTCCATTCATTTTAATTTTTAAAATAACATTACCTTCTGATTTGAGACTTGATAGACAGAGATAATCCATACTAAATCTAACACAATGTATTTAACACTGCTTGTTTCCATGTGATAGTGTCGAATGTAACAACAGTGCACTCCATTTTAAAAAAATCGGAACCTCTCATTAATTTGACCCATTCATGAAGATAAAACAAATTATTACTCAGTCAACTAAACAGCTTTTTAATCTTAAAAATATGTAGTTTACTTTATTTTTTAGCTCGGACCTGCGGACAGCGAACATACATATGTAGGTAGCTCGCCACCCGACCAGAACCAGACCCGAGCGTACGGTGCCTCGCGTTCCGCGCGCCCCTCAAATAGCCATCAGACCACCACGGATAGCCCAATAGGACTGATGCCAATACAGAGCTGCGGAGAACTTAAAAGCTTACCGGGGCTCCGGCTCGAAGTGCAGGAACAGGAGCAGGGTGGTTTTTAGTCAGTAAGAGTATGACATTCCCCCTCACCTCACCCGGGCGGGAAAAGTCATTCGATGATTTACCCCCCATAAAAAATATGTATTACTTACCTTATCTATCGTTACGAAACTGTCAGTAAATACACAAAATTAACACACATATCTTCCGTCGAATCACAAGCCAAAGCAAACACATTATACAAAGTTTACATTGGCCAAATATCCTAATCCGATGACTTTCAAATGCAACAACAGCTTCATCAAATGCCGGTAACGAACCGTACCAAATATATGAACGGACCGGACGGCCGTGTGTGCCAACAGGACTGACAGACAATTAATTATGAGTATATTTGAACCCGTTATTATATTACAAAGATTATTCATCTGGATGGACAAGACACAAATGGTGTTCTGACAGTTGTTTGAAGTGTATGGCAAAAGGAGTAGTGGTATGCATATGTCCTTTAACTCGTCGAGTACCGGTTTTGCAGACACAATTATAGAACAATAGGTTGCGGTCACCGGTGACCGCTTGGTATTTGACAGTTTAAGATAGAGTATAATCAAACCATGTACGTACATCATTATCACAGTATTTATTGTTAATCTAACAACGATCACCATGTTAGAAGATCGCCAAAATAGCAAAACAATAAAATCTTACACTCAAAATAATTTCAATAAATGGCATACAAATCCGAACAGCTTTAGTGAAAATAAAATAAATTAAAACCTCTACAAACTCCTGGATTCATTCCAAAATATCTTCAGCAAATCTAAAATTATCAGCATTGTCAAGTGCATACTGCACCCAAGGCTTGGCATTCACTGCCAGACAGTTCAGTAGACAGTAATATACTTGCGACTAATCGTGTTTAGTACAATTTACGTATTATAATCTTGACGCGTAAATTATGTATGTATTTTATAAAGCTGAAGAGTTCATTTGTTTGAACGAATATTTTGTCGCACTTATATGACGTTAAATATTTATCTCATATCAATTCTAATTTTGTTTCATATCATTCTACATACATAACATCACGCCTGTTATCCTCGAAGGGGTAGGCAGAGGTGTACATTATGCCACTGTACAATGTAACCACCCACTCTTCACTATTTATGTTATGAGTCTCATGTAATGGGGTGCGCCTCTTGCCATATACCGGGCACAGTTCCAGACTCCGTGCTACCACTGAGATTTTTTTAAAAACCCAGTAGTACTTTGCCCGACCCTGTAATCGAACCCGAGACCCCTTGCCCGGCAGTCGCACTTGCGACCACTCGGCCAACGAGGCAGTTCGACATACATTTGATATTGAATATGTGTTATTATCAATTTATTTGATAGTAACATTCATAGTGATGAATTATATAGAGGTATACATACATACATACATACATAACATCACGCCTTTTATCCCCGAAAGGATAGGCAGAGGTGCACATTACGGCACCTAATGCCACTGTAATGTAACACCCACTTTTCACTATTTATGTTATGAGTCCCATGTAATAGGGGGTGAGCCTTTTGCCATATACCGGGCACAATTCCAAACTCCGTGCTACTACTGAGAATTTTTAAAAACTCAGTAATACTTTGAACGACCCTGGAATCGAACCCGAGACCCCTTGCCTCGTTGGCCGTATTCGCAAGTGCGACTGGGCAGTTGCACTTACGACTGCCGAGCAGAGTGAGAGAGGCAGTTCTACATACATTTGAAATTGAATATGTTTTAGTAATTATCAATTTATTTGTAACAGTAACAATAGTGAATGAATTATAAAACACAAAAATATCTCTAGCATTGTCATCCTTCTAAACCATGTAAACTTTTAATCTTGTAATAAAATACGTATTATAATTTATGCATAGTCATTACAGATACAACAATTAGTATAGGTATTATCTAGACAGGACCCTTGGGAGTAAATCAATTAGCATACAAAGTACAGGTCAGAAAATACGTTTACTAGGTTTAGTCTCTAGAGGACAATGAGACTAAACATATATAACGAAGGAAATATGTAGCACGCAGTACATTCTCTAGTTGTTTATACGGTTCTTAGGCGTGGCCTGTAGATTAATGTATGGGTCGAATAGAATTATATTGCTATTTTTTTTAATGGGCCAACCCGCCACATCCTCCCAGAACCGCTGCAAATCCTGTAAGCCAGGATCTACATAAGATACAACCATAAAAACACCGGAACATTGAAGTCCTAAGAATTATATTGCTTTTGTCGGTTGTTGTTCAAATAGTATCAAAGTTAAAGAATTTATTGCCATTTTGTACATAAAGGTACCATAGGCATTGCAAACAAACCCTGTCGTAGAACAAAAAAGGATAATAGAATCAACAGAAAATTACAAGCAAAATAATAATAAAGTTGTCGTGGTGGCACGGAGGTTTAAGACGCCCGCTTCTCATGTATGAGAGGGCGGTTTTGAAACCTATCAACGGCAAGTACCAATGTGACATTTCCGAGTTATATGTACTTTCTATAATTATCTTGACACCACTGACAAACGGTGCAGGAAAACATCGTGAGGAAACCTACTCTTATATTTTATAATTATAAGTTTGTAATCGACAACCCGCATTGAGCATGCGTGGTGATTAATGCTTAAACCTTCTCCGTGTGAGAAGAGGCTTTGCTCAGCAGTCGGCATTTATAGGCTGTTGATGATGAAGATGATGAATAATTATGATCTTAATTAAAAGCAAAGTTACAAACTTTTATTAACACAGATACAATATAAATGTACAATTACAATAAGATTAACTAAAAATAACACAATAAAAATACATAATTCAAGGATAGGCTGGTCACATATTTCACCGATCGTCTTTGATGGTACGAGAATCCCGTACAGTGACACTGTGAAGGATCTGGGAATCCTGATAGACAAAGACTTTTCCTGGGGACCACAGCTGCGAGAAGTCAGCCGCAAAATATTTGCGTCAGCAGGATCTTTACGCAGGCTCCGGAACTTTCTGCCAACTGCAACCAAAATTGCGCTCTCTCGATCACTTCTGCTCCCTCTCCTTGACTACGCCGATGTCAGCTATTGCCTTATATCTTACCGAGGAGCAGTTAGATAAGCTTGAGAGACTCCAAAATTTCAGCATCAGGTTCATATTTGGTTTGCGCAAGTATGACCACGTTACCGAATATCGCAATATACTCAAGTGGCTGCCAATCCGCCTTCGCCGGAATACTCATATCTTGTCCCTACTTTACAGCATACTGTTCAATCAGTTTGCCCCTTCTTACCTCAAAGAACGTTTCAAGTTCCTAAATGACGCACATTCGAGATCACTGAGGTCGTCAGCGAATCTGAGATTGGAGATGGCCCAGCATTCCTCAAAATTCTACAGCAAGTCATTCACTGTGCAAGCTGTTAGGTTGTGGAATGCATTGCCAGTGTCGATAAGGCAAGCTCAGTCGTTGGCTGCGTTTAAGGAGCAAGTTAAGAAGCACTACCTCTCTTCTCTATAATGTCATCATCAAACTGTTTCCTTCTATGTGGTCCATAATTATGGTATATTTAAGTGTAAGTAGGTATGTAATCATGTATGTATGTATGTATGTATATATGTATGTATATATGTATGTTTGTGTGTATGTATGTGTATATGTATGCATGTATTATTACTACGTTATTTATTTATTTTCTTAGTACACAACCCGTCTAAATATTTCTCTTCATTATATCCACCCAAAGGTTGTCTGGTAGAAATCACTATAAGTGATAAGACCGCCTTTGTGCCCATTATTATTTTTATTTATATTTGTCATTTCCTTTTCTGTATGTACTATATTATTAATGGTGTACAATAAAGTTATATTCTATTCTATTCTATTCTCATTCGTCACGTATGCCTCTTTTTTACAACAAAAATCATTATCATATTTAACATTCACTAAAACCTGCGATTTTAATATTTCGTCGTTAAAAAAGACGTCTCATGAATAGCCAGCCTTCCCGTTCGCCGGCAAAGAGGCCCGTCTGCAAGTGACTGAAGGAGATTTTAATAAAAGATTATTTTAATGCATACATTCAGTCTAATAGAGAAATGTACGGACTTAAATAAGTAATGAGCATGGAGTCATTGAATTTCTATTGATTGTGAATTTTAACTTTATCCGATTGGTGGCTTGTTCGTCCGCGAGTCACTTAAGGGTCAGTAGAATACGAGCGAAAGACCCACCACAGAGTTGGGATATGAATATGTACCCATTATTATTACTTACTTATAAACTATCACTATAATTAATCTGTACGTGTCGCCTGTTTTTAGCGTACGAAATAAAGATTTTTCTTTCATTCTTCTTTCTTTTTTTTTTCTCTAATAATAATATTATTATAAAGGATCGATTTTTTAAAGTATGAAAGCGTGATAATAATATTCATATTTCTATGTTTGTTGTGCCATGAAACAACATCATCTGCACGTTAAGGATGGCGGCCGGTGGCGGGATAAATGGGTTCGATAAGAAACCCATAGATGGCGATACTTGTACCACATTTACTTATTGCTGTACAAGATGTTGATGTTTTATGGACAATCCTAACTATACACTTAATAATTCCAAGCTTATCATTTCTGAGTATTCTATAAAGTTCTGAAAAGAACTTGTTTCAAGTTATATTTAAATGCCACATCGACATTCTTGCTTGTATTGTAAATGAAAAATATAAGTATCACAAAATTTAATCAAATGATAATTTAGTGTGTTCTCTATTCAGAGCCTTACATCATTTTGAATATAAGTAAAAGTAAAATAAGTAAATACACAACAAAAAGTCTTTGTTATTAAAATTTAATTTCCTTCGCGAAACGAGCAAGTCATTCAAATGACTAAATGACAGCTCTCAACTATAAGAAGAGAATGTTGTTACATTTTTTCAATTTACAGTAAAAATCTCAAAGTTAATTAAAATCTGTACAAGTTACGGGCGACAGACGTTTATTTGCGGTTTTAAATTTTTTTTATTGACTGTAGTTCACAAATTTTACTAACATTCAGCTTTTATGATTACTTTATTAATGCGTCATAGTATTGGATTCCAATTGGGTCTTCGTTCTTCGTTATCAATGGGTCGCCTCTCGAAGTTGTTCAGGAATACATCTACCTGGGATGAACCCTGCAGCTTAATAGGAAGCTTCGAGAAGGAGGCTCGTAGAAGGGTACAGCTTGGCTGGGCAGCATGTAGAAAACTTAATCAAGTCTTCTCGTCACAGATACCGCAAAACCTGAAGACAAAAGTCTTCAACGAGTGCGTCTTCCCAGTAATGACATACGGAGCCGAGACATGGACACTGACAGTGCGACTGGTCCACCAATTTAAGGTCGCGCAGCGAGCTATGGAGAGGGTTATGCTCGGAGTCTCTATCGAATCGAATCCTAAACGAAGTGGTCCGACAAAGAAACAAAGTTAAAGGATCAATAAGCTGAAGTGGCAGTGGGCCGGTCACATTTGTCGAAGATCCGATAACCGTTGGTGTAAACGTGTTCTAGAGTGGAGACCGCGTCTAGGCAAACGTAGTGTAGGGTGCCCTCCAGCTAAATGTAGTGACGACATCCAAAAGGTGGCTGGCAGTAGTTGGATGAGAAGAGCTGAAAACCGAGCTTAGTGGCGTGCCCTTGGAAAGGCCTATGTCCAGCAGTGGACGAATACAAGCGTATGATGATGATGATGCTCGGAGTTTCATGTCTATTGATTAGAAACCAAAGTAGATAATACATTGGTAGCAAAGAGACGGAGCCATTAACGATTTTTCTATTTTATTTCTTGATAAATACTTTTTGGTATAAATATTTTAACTATTAATTGCTAACTTGTGTCGTATAAAAGACAATTTAGTTACCTTTCATTACGAAAGCAATATTTGTTTTTAAACTGTCAAACTCCAAGCGGTCACCGGTGACCGCAACCTATTGTTCTATAATTGTGTCTACAAAACCGGTACTCGACGAGTTAAATTATAAAGGGTTCGATAAAATGAAACCGAAACGCTAGTGGTTGCGTTTGCTTTTAACGCCGGAATACTGAAAGGCTATTCAAGTCGCGGTTAAGTGTAGTTCTGTCACTAGAAATTCTTTGTAAAATGATAGAGATAGCACTATATTTAAGTACAATATAAAATTTAGTAGCCTTTCAGTATTCGGGCGTAAGTGTATTAAAAAGGGATACAAGGCTATAGGCCGGTATAAAGTTGGTTAGAACATAATGCGGTAGATGACTATTTTTTTATTTTAATGTCCGTCTGGTAGATTATTTTAAAATATTAGACACGTATCTTTTATTTCCTTACAAAACACACATTACGAAACAAATATTTCGAAGATATATTGATTTTGAACATCGCGTGACGTCACTTCTAGGTCCTGTTCTATACGTAGAAATGACGGTTTACTTCCCACTTCTAAACTTTGAGTTCTTTTATTTAAGTATTATTTTCTTATAACAAAATAAAAAGATACGTGTCTAATATTTTTTCATTACCTAACTGACAGACTAATTACATTTTTAAATTTCATACCCCATCATCATCCCTATTATAGCTGTTTAGCAACTTGACTTTGTTAAGCCTAAACTAGTAATTTAAAATCCTCTTTTTTAAGTTTAACAAAATAGTAGTTAAGCATTTAAAATGCATGACTTTAACACAACAGTTGTTTAATTTAACTTAATTTCACGGCTTATTTGCTAAGGTACGCCTCGTTGAACTTTCAAAATTATACTTTCAGCTTTTGTTGTTAAATACGCTTTTTGAATGGCATTTGAGGCAAACGTTACGGGACAAATGATTGGCCTTACGATGAAGTACTTAGTAGCTTAGTGTCCCTTTAAATTACATAAGTAGATGAAATAGTAGCTGTCTATTTTTTTTTTTGTAATGGTGTAAAGCATACAGCCATATGATGTAAGACAACCTTTATAGTGAATAAGCAGACGGATTATTTGTGACGATAATAATTGCGTAGCGTCGTCCATGGACATCGGCAACATCGAAGGAGTTGTAAGGGCGTAATCAGCCCTTTAAAATTGCTCATACCATTAACTCTTCTCTGCATCACCCAAAGGTCAGACTGGGAGAAAATGCCTGCGGCATTAAGTCCACCTTATGTACATTTTGTGCATGAAGCTTTAAAATAAATAAATAGAAAATGGTTCACATCATCACCTCAAGCCTATAAGTGGCCACCGCTAACCAAAGGTCATACGGAGAAGGTACCATTAATCATCACGCTTGCTCAATGCGGGTTGGCGATTTCAAACTTATAATTAAAAATTATAAGCCCAGGGTTTCCTTACGATATTCTCCTTTACCATTTGTCGATGGTGTTTTAATAATCTTAATATCCATTAATTGGTAATTAAAATTCGATTTTCAATGGCATTAAAAAAGTAAGACTCAACATATAATTAGTAATCTCGATCAAAGGAAATGACTTGTCACCAACCGACCAGCCGGCATGGAACGATCCATAAAACTACATAAAAGTCGGTAAACCTCCCAATGGTTCTTGCCTTTGGTAGCTTTGAACCCAATATAAGCATCCTTAAAGGCGAATGATAGAACATCAATTACATAACACATATTTGCAATACTATTGGATCTGTCACTATGTTCACACCTTTATAGAAATATAGGCGTAATGTTACCAACTTTACAAACAATTTAAATGATCGCTCCCAAAAGTCAGTACAAAATTAATTCCACTTTTGAACTTACAGAAATATCGTTTTCCCAGTAGTATTAAAATAAAGCACGGTCAAAGTTTGCCAGTAATAAATAAATAAAAACTCAAAGTTACTGAACTCCTTAAATGAAATATGGTGCGAACGCGTTCCAACTTTGAATTTTAAATATTATTTTAACAACTCGTTATGGTGTAGGCACATTACTAAGTTGAGTGCGCTCTGAGTATGAAATGAGTGAGAACTGTGTAACTTTTTACCCGACTGAAGGACGTTCTTGTTGTACGTTTCTTCTAAACCACCCAACTAATAATATCGTTAGATATGTCTTAATAACCCAACTGTTCTTAGAAAAGTGACATTGAAAAAATACCAACTTGGCGACTGCCAGACGTAGTTTAGACTTAAAAAAAAACTTTTTTTCTAAAATGGCAATATTAGTATCCAATTAAAGAGGTTGAATTGAAATATAATTTTTAACTGATTAAACTCGGATGACCCGGGAAATTAATGAATTCAGCAAACTATACACCCAACTCTTCATTGAGGGAGGCCTATGTTCAGCCATTGTAGTTCCGGGGACTGATATGATTATGATGATGATACACTCAACACTCCACACATGTATATTGGAATAGAGTATGTTTTGCTATGTAGCAGTAGTATACGCCCGGCGTATGTTGCTGATTAGGATTCAAACTCTCCGGCCATCCAAAAATCTACCACTATCAGAACACGTCATCTTCTGCTAGTAAAATATTAGTTGTTTTGAGATCTCAGTGCAATA